AGGGGGGAAATGGGCAGGGTCTCTGGGTTGGGGGGGTGGGGGCAGTGCTGGGGTGGGTGCTGGGGGGTGAGTGGAGCCCTGAGGGGGGCAGGGTCTCTGGGTTGGGGGTGTAAGGAGCAGTATCCCTGGGTGTCAGGGGAGCATGGCCCTCAGCACTGGGGACCTTCCCTCAGGCACTCCCAGGCCCAGGTGGTTTCCAGGGTGCTGGGGGCCTGCCCCAGTTCCTGGTGGGGGCTGGGATGTGCCTGTGGGGGCTGCAGTCTTGCCCACCAAGCCACATCACCCCACCCCTTTGTGGGGTCTTGGTGTCTGAATTGCTGGGTGAGCTCTGAGGTCGCAGTGTGCTGTGGGGGTCTGGGGTTGTAGCACGCCGCAGCAGGAAGTTCTGCTCCCTCTGGTCACTGCTGACACTTCTCTCTGCACGTTCTCTCTGCTGAGTGTGGTGGGACATCTCGTGAGCTCCCCTGGGGAGGAGAGTCGTTCCTGCCATGTTGGTGGAGTAAGCAAGATGAGCCAGGGTCTGCCCCTGGGGGCTCTGGGCCAGGGTTTGTGCTCTGCTCTTGGCAGGCAGGGGGCCTAGCTGGTAGGTGAAGTGGTGGTCAGCAGATTGACGCTGTCTGGAGTTAGGGGCGCAGGCATGCTTTTGCTGTCTTTGTTCCCAGTGCTTCTTTCACTCTTACAACCATCACCAGGTGCAGAATCACATCATAGCGCAAAGATAAGACTGGCTGCTTCGTCTCTCTTTTGTAACAGTCCCTGCTTGCTGGCCTCTCCTCAGTAGATGAGACCCTTCACTGTTAACTGGGATCTCTCACAGCCATGAGCCACGGCACTTGCTAAAGCTGCCCTTGTCTTTAAAACACAGCATTGTTGTTAATCTACATAATGACTGCTCTGTGCTTGGGCTCTGTATAGCCAGCTATGCCGTTTGCACTAGGTAAGCAGGATCAGAGAGAGGATCATGACACCAGATGTTAGTGCCCTCGCATCTCGGAGCAGCGCAGAGTTTAATCCCCTGCTTAAGAACTTGCCTTGTTTGCCAGGGGCGGTGTCAGTATTGGGTTAGTGCTTGTCTCTCTATCTCATTGTGACTGTAGCTAGTGAGTTTCTGTGTGAGGAAAAGCAAGATGAAAGTATGTGCATCCTGTATGCAGCATGCATCTTGTAGGCAAGTAAAGTACTTGCCAGGCTCTGGGCAATGTGTCAGATGATCCAGAGTGGGAGAGAGCTGTCGTAGATTGGTGGAGGAGGTGTGTCCATTTAAAATGACCTGAAGGATCTAATTAAACTGGCATAATGGTACAGTAGCTCCATCATTGCACACTATACTGCAAGGTACCCATATGTGTGTTAGTAGTTTCTTTGTGCGCCTTCCATTCAGGCACAGTTCTACCGGTCAGCATGCTAATTATGATAGAAATGTTTAAAATTACCTGCTCCCTGGCTCATGACCCTTGTTGGCAACGAAGATATCCACTGCACTTGGTACTTGATAGCTAGAGGGAGCTGGCATCTTAGAAAAGAGTGTTATTGGAAGGCTTAAGGTTGTAAGTATGTGTGGAGGAAACTTGAAGTGGACAAGGTAGCCATAGCACAGGAAACAGGATGCTGCCCCGAGGGGATCAGTACCCTAGGAAGAAGGTGGTTATGAGAAGAGGCATGGGAGGAGAGGGACTAAGTGGAAGAGGGGAAAGGATCTGAGATGCTGGGGGCTGAACTCTGCAGGCTGTTAAATCTAAGACCAAGGATTCAGGCTTCTCTCTTGTGTTCAGCACATGTGCTAAGTTTGGTCCCTTTGGGAAGTTGCACAAGCACAAGAAATGTCTGACCCATGTGGACTTTTTAAGGGTTCTTTTTTTATAATTGAATGACTTCAACAACAGCCTCTTTGTGCAGAGGCTAAATATGAACTTGTGGCATATGCATCTTGCATGTGTCTGTGTTGTCTTGCTAATAAGGCAAGAGCAAGGCACCAGATTGTACTTGAATGCACCGGAGTCAGCTGTTCAAGAGGTGCCGGACAAAATCCAGCAGCTTGCCTTACTATATCCAGCTGATTGCTCCATGCTTGGCCCTGTGAAACCATAAGCTTCACTACTTTGATATTCACAAAAAGAAAATCATCCTTCTTGCTAGGGCTGAGTTCTGTCACTGAAGGAAAAATCATGGGAAGGTAGAGCCAGTTACAGGCTCTCACAAGCTGCTCAGTTCTGTATCAGCAGCTGGGTGGGACTTGCAAGATATCTTTCTTGTCAAGGGATAACATGAAAGAGGTGACTGTGGTCTGACCCTTTTAAATGAGCTCCCCATCGATCAGTCTGACTCCAAGGCATTAGAAACTCACTGGGAAGGCAAACGGAGCAGCTCTGTCTGCCTCTCTAAAGGAAGAATAGCATTGGGTGTGAATCTGATTGACCACTGCCCCACTTACGGGGCTCAGAGACATGCATACCTTTGTTTCATGCATATCTTGTGCATCAGCGATTAGCCTGTAGAACTATGCATGCTTTAGTATTATAAGAGTTGGACTTGAGCTATTTGTGCTCCCTGCAAGTTCAAACTACAGCAGTCATCTCAGCCAATCAGCCTTCTGTGCTGCATATAATGAGCTCACTGTATGCGGATTCTTCTCATGTCATATTAAAAAGTACCTCTTTAAGGATGTTAAAGATGCTGTGATGTTTCTCCAAGAAGTCCAGTCTTTTTGGCCAGTACTTCTTGTCCTGGAATATAGTGTTGCGCAGCTTATCTGCCCAGTTGCCATCTCCCACACCAGAGTTTGGCAGCATGTTAATGGCAGTATGTGTGTATATGGGCTCTGAAATTCTTTGAGATTGAAGTTTGTTGCATAAATACAAATAACATTAGAGGACATACTGCCTGCCGACAAGGAACAGTATTGTTCAGGTGTGAAATGTACACCTTATTCTGCATTTGGTCATAATTGGTATCTATAAATACTACAGCTTTAGGTAGTATTTGGCATGGAAAGGTCCATTGCTAGATAACTAAATGGAGTGACTGCTTATTTTTCCATCTGCAGGTCTGCCTTATTAGCTCTTTCTTAGGCGTAGTAGCACGAGGTCAAAACCAATGTGTAGTAGAGCTTGTAGTAAGCGTACTGCTCGTCTCCTGGATTGCTGTACATTTATAGTAGGGGTTTACAGGAAAGAAGCCTTTTTTGGTGATTTTGTACTGTGAAACAAAACAATGTGCATCCTGGGACTGTCCTTTGTTTCTGGTCATTGGTTTTTTTGCATTTTATCCTGCTTTTGAACTGTCCTGTAAAGCATTATGTGGAACTGAAAACTTTCCTCCATCTTTATGCTTGTTGCACAGAGCAATCTGTTGTATAAAATATGCGTATGTGAACATGATTTACATCTGCTTCTCTGGGTGGGCTAGCACTCAGCAGTGTGATTTGCCATGGGGAGAGGTAGAAGGATGTGGCATACTGAGATTTCCCCCCACCCCCTCCCCTGTAGAAAGAAAGCATTTATACTGGTGGAGATGTTACTGGAACTCTGTGTCCAGCAACAGCAGAAAGGTTTTGTGAAATTGGTTTAGTGAAGAGCCCCTGGAATGACTAAAGGATTAGAAAGTATATGTTACAGAGAGAGACCCAAGCAACTCGGCCTACTTAGCTAAGCATGGAGAGGACGATGATTAAGCAGTGATCTGATCTTTTCTAGACCTATGTAAGGAGCAGAAACTTGATGACAGAGAGCCCTTCAGTGTAGCAGACAGCTGTAACAAGATTCACTGCCTGGAAATTGAAGCCAGCTAGGCTTAGATGAGGAATAAAACCCGATTGCATAACAGTGAAGGTAACTAATCACTTTCCAGTGGCTGCAGTGATTTATATTGGATCACAATTAGATGCTTATTTAAAAAGAGGTGCTCTGGATCAAAGAGAAATTAAAAGAATCAAGCAGGGAACCCTCTCTGGTTTGTTGTTCAGGAAGTTGAACTGGATTGCTTTACTCTTCTGGATTTTCTAATCTACAAATAAATCTGATTTAATTGTATTGCATGGATTTGGGTGTTTCAGTTGCTATACAGTGACAGGGTTATTCATGGTGACCCACCAAGGCCTTTTACTTTTTGTCACTAGGTACCATGTGTGGCAGAAAGCCACCTTGGTTTCTCCCCAAAAATCTCTGCCCTGTGACACTGTGATTTAAATCTCTGTGCTGTGACCATTCAGTTAGGGTGGGCCCAGCACACAGGGGACCACACCCTCAGCCTGTCTCTTTAGGGAACTGGAGCTGGCTGCATTCCTGAGGGAGGGGGAAACCTGCTCCCTCTGCTTACGTGACTTGCATCACTTACCTGGGTAAGGGGTTTCTACCTGGGGAGCTGGAATCTGCCCGGTAACAGGTGATGCATTTCAGATTGGTTGGCTGACAGCCAACTGGGGGCTGACCTCCGCTGGCCCAGGTGAATGAGGTCACAGGGGCTATATAAGTTAGGACGGGGAAGGAGGCGGTCTCTCCTCTCTGGCCATGAGGTGACGCAGCAGCCAGGCAGGGGACAGAGAAGCCTTAACATCTGAAACTGGCTCTCTCCCCCCAAACTCACGAGCTAGGAACTGCCTGCCTCCAAAGGGAAACTTCACCTGCCTTTGGAAGATGCTTGTGAGTAAGCTACTCAATCTGATTAGATATTTAGCTGGAAGTATCACAGATGCGTAATCAAAAGGCTACCACAGCCAGACTGTTTGCTCTTTAGGATTTCTAGATATTGCTCTATCCTGTACCCTAGTTTACCCTACCCCCTGTAATCAATAAAGTTCTCCTT